CACTTCTCAATTAAATATTATCATGTTTTTAGGGCATGAATCTGAATTGAACAACCTGATAATGCTCACTCTGGTTATTGTTTCAGTTTTTAAAAGCGCTATCTGAGCCATTCGGGGAGTTGTAATGAGGCTTTTTTTTGGTGCCGTGTAAGAGAAATATATATATAGATTACTCTAATTATTCAAATACATACAGTTGTAAAGAAATTATTTTTTCAAAATTAAATATTTAAATTCTGGTTTATGTGAACGATAATAAACTACTCTAATAAATGAAATATTATTCACTTCATGGACTTTCATGATTAGGACATTCATGAACACGGTAAAAATAACTTATTAAATTAAATATTAAAATTACTTGCATGGACAAGAAAAAAAGTTAGCCAATGTATTCATGAACAAGTGCTTAAAATTACAAATGCAATGATTTATATTTAACAAACTAACCTGATTAGAAGGTTTTCCATCATCTGTTTCACCTTTGCCACCATTTTTAAGCTTTGTCTAAAAAAAAATAATAAGCTTCAAATGAGGTACTGTTATAAAAGGATATTTTCTTGCTAGTAATGAAAGCATGTGTATGTTTAAACACAAAAAAAGCTAAATAAAAACCATACCTTTTTTGTTGAATAAGAAGAGTCACTATCTTCTTGAGGTTTTCTTTTTGAAACCTAAAAAGGGAAACATGCTATAAATGAAACAATTTACAATGGCTGCTGTTTAACAAGATCATTTGTTGGTAATTCTAGTAAGCAAACACCAGATGTAGTGTGTACCAACTAAATAAAGCTACAACGTTTTTTCTTTTTTGCCACAACAGGGTGCCAAGTAATCAAATCGCACAGTAACAATTCTCAATAAATTTTGGACATACAGAACTACATCAAATGAAACAAGATCGAGGATATTCAACTCAAAGATTAAATCACTACCAGGGTGAGTAGCCAAATCCCTCAACAAAAAATAAGCATGTTTAAAGTACTTTTTAAGCACTCAAAAATATTTTTAAGCACTATATACATTAACAAAATGCAAAATAATTTTCAAAGGCTTTACATGATCACGATAAAATAACAAGTTTCTGACAAAATACTCTTTTCTTGATTATATTACCCACCATAAAAAGAATTTTTCAGTTCGATTTCAGAGGGTGGAAAATGCAGCTTAAAATACAGAATATCTTGCAAAATGCAGCACAGTTGCACATGAGAGTGCAAGAATCTCAACGAACCCAGCTCATTATTCACTCCCAAGTATTTCATCAAACATTAAATTATTGCAGCTATCATACGTTATGGATCGACGGCACGCCAAAATGGATTGTGGTTGAATGAATAGTGAAAACAGAACATTGTGAAAACCACTTGTGCAAAATACGAAATTTGAAAAAAATCTCATTTTTGACAAGTTAAAATTAAACACTTTTTAAAACACCCTATGAAAAAAGCACCTTTAAGGGTTTTTAAAAATCGAAAATAAGCACCTTTAAGCACTTTTTAAAAACGCTATGCACCATGACTACTTCTATAAAGATCAGAAACCTGGTACAAATTGAAAACAATTACAAATAAGTTATACAGTCTCTAATCAACAAATGTTTCAGAAAAATTCTTAATATATAATGGTCTCAGAAAATATTTCACAATGAATTATTCATAATCAGAAAAAGCAAAAATCAATAAAGTTAAAAATCAAAAAATGGAAATGGCAGTAGATTAGACGCACTATCAAAATACAGGAAAAATTTTAAAAAAACAACAACTAGGTGCTAGACTGTACACCCTAAAGTAAATGGAAGAGTAAACCTAAAATAACATGACGCAGAGCTATTATGAATGAATAAAAGAAAATAAACCAAACATGGAAAATAATAAAGTGCTTGGTCACCAACAGGATGAAATTGAAAGTCAGGACAAAGGCCCTATGCTCCTTACGAAGTAATGAAGTATAAGAGAAGAAGAGAGAGCACAAAAAAATAATAAGAACCAAACTTATATATTTAGAAAGTCTATATCTCTGAACACATATTAACAAGGAGTACGTCACCTACTGCTCAACCTAGTGCAGAAAAAAAACAGAGAGAAATAGTGTCCCATCAAAATGAAGCTGCTTCTGAATAATGCTAATATATCTGTCATGCTTGTATATGAATTGAAATATCGGATGTTTCACATCAACATTAGCATCAATGTTATTCCAAATTTCAATAATTGCAGCCTTCATTTCTGCAACAAACTGAAACTGCTACTTTTTGGTATATTAAGTTCTACTGATAGCTCGTATGCTTTTCTTAGGGATATAAATTAGATTAAAGGGCAAATCATTCATGGCATGAACCTTTTTTTTCAAAAACCAACACTGAGAAGATTTTACAACCTAATTGGAGGCATTGTCCTGCTGTTAAATCCCACTTGGGATACCAGCTGTGCAATGGCAATAAATAAATTTCTAGAATTTGTTTGATTATCAGCAGCCTGTAAATAAGTCGAATTTTCCAACAAGATAAGGCCTACATTGACATTAGAAAGTGGTGGGCTTCAAAGCGGAAGGTTTTGAATAATAGGGTGCATGGTATAAATACCTCACCAGTTTTTCTGACCTATATCCCCCAAGAAACATAAGAGCTATCCTCAATAAGACTATATATACCAAAAAGTAGTAATTTCAGTTTGAGGCAGAACTTAAGACTCCCATCAATGAAATCCGGACTAACGTTGATGCTAATGTGAAGGACTATTCTCAATAAGATTATAAATACAAAAAAGAAGCAATTTTTAGTCTTTGACAGTAATGAAGACTGCCATCATTAAAACTTGACATAATTTTGATGGAATTGTGCTCCTGGGATAGGTAAATATTATGTAAAGTAATATATCTTAAGTCAAATAAAAAATATGGCAGATATTTGATTATAAAATAAAGTGCCTTCATTTCGTTGGAACACTATCTTACCCCTTTTTTTAATTGTTTGATGCTTTTTTCCTTTCCAGGTAGAGTAGAAAGTGAGCTACTCCTTTTAAATATCTGTTTAAATATAGACTTTTATAACACCTGTTTGGTTTTCTTTGTGCCTACTTAGTTGGAGCATACGGTATTTACATCAACAAATTATACATATTTATTATTATTTACTAGAATTATTTTCATAAAATAAAATATAAAAAATTGAAACAATATATGATTACACAAAAGTTCCATCAATTCTACAAAAGATTTAAATAATAATTAGAAATACAGATAAGGAATTTCATTGAATAAAATTTGCTTATAAAAAGAATTACCTGCTTTTTTGCGGTTGGACTTTCATCCTGTTTCAATTTTTTGCTGGAAGGTGATTTTGTATCTTTAACAGGTGACTGAAAAAAAGGAAATAGTAAAATAAACATTTTAATATTAATAACATTTTATAAATCTCAAAAAAATATTATGTTAACAATAAGGAACGTTATTAGAAAGTAATTCAGAGTCATTTTTTGATAATACCTAATAAAAATGATAGATTCAACTTTTATGAAAAAAAATATATTATTTAATTATTTATATCTAAGTAATTATCTAGAACCAGGAATGTGGCTGTGAAAATCAAGAAAAACAGGAAAGAAATATATGAAATAAAAAATATATTGATAATAAAGTAGGTAAATTCAAACTTCAAAAAGAAATATTTACCTTTTTAGTATTTTTTGTTTTTTAACCCAATACAAATAAATGCACACAAGATAGTAAAAAGCATGATAAAGAGAAAACAAAAATGAAATATAAAAAAAAAGAGTTTAATTAATATATTTGAAAAAAAAAAGCTAAGCAGAATTTTGTGTATATAGCAAATTATTGGCTAACAATATTTATTTTAACTGTTGGTTTATCAGAGTGACTATATATATATAATACCATATAAAAATAATTTATTTAAAGATTTTTAAGCTTCTAACAAGAAGATTAGTGTATCGTTACGCTTTTAGATCATAAAATATACACAAAATATCTTTTAACAATGGAATGTTAGCAGCATAAAAATTTAATATTGTAAGATAATATTCATGCATATAAAAATTATTAATACAGATATAAAAGAATTATTTGGGAAAATTCACCATAAGAACTTCAGTTTAATTGAGAAAAAAAATTATAACTTTAAAAAAATTAAGTAGTGAATGATTCTGTTACAAGTTGCATTTAAAAACTCCTATATTTTGAGCATTTGAACTCAGTCGTTATCAATCCATAGATTTAAAGCTTTTTTTCATTTATGTCTATGCAGTTTGAAAAGTACATTGTAGAAAAAAATAGACAGTGTATAGATTTTTTAACATAACAGAAATATGACAAAAAAATGAAAAATGATAAAATGGTTTATAATAGCTCATTGCTGCATATTAAAATAATCAAATAATTATTTTCATTAAACTAGAAGATTTTGTTGAAGTTGCTAAAACTATCATTTCTATGTCCTAAAATAACAACATTCAAAAGAGCTCTGGCAATAAAATTGCTTGGTGTAATTTCTTTTCAGTGACAAATTAATATAACTGAAATGCAATGTTACATTTATTCTAAAAGCAGTTTCAACCCTATTTATTGTCTTTTTTTCACTCAACATAATCAAATTTACTAAACAAATAATTTAATAAGTAGAAATATGATACACATTAACTATGCATACAATGAAATTTTTTCAAAAAAAAATAGTAATTAGTTAGCAAAAAATTACATGGTTTGTAAGAATATCAAAAATCATACATTTTAAAGACATTATTATTAAAATAGTTTAATCAAATAGATTTCTGAATAAAAAATTTAAAATATAGCATGGGATGGGTAAGGCTGAATAACTCTAGGAACAAAAGAATAAAATTATTTTTACAATTGTAGTAAATCAAAATAATCTTTCATAATAAAAATAAAATATACTTCTTTTTAGACAGTTGACTTTTTCTGCAAAATGCATCAAAATTTTAAAAACAAACAACAAAAAAAGGTACAATTGATAAATTTGACCTCATGACTGATATTTACATTGAGTAATAAAAACTAATAAAAATTAAAGAGATTGGGTTGCAAATGAAATGGTAATACATAAATTATGATTTTTAAAAATATCGACTTTTAATTTCCTCTTTATTATTTAAAAAAATGTGCACTAAAATGGAGACATTGGAAAATAGTTTATTTATAATTTACGGTTAATTTTCTTAATTCCCATTTTTAACAAGGGGCATTAAATTTATTATAATAATTGTTATCTAAAAATCCTAATAAAAGTAAGGTTAATCAAATATATATTTAGATGCTACAAACAATCATTCCATTCAGTGCAGACTAAAGGAAAAGAAAAGCTATATTTTCAATTATACAGCAATATGCAGCACAGAAAGTAAAAACAGGTTAAAAACAGGAGAGAGACAAGGGTAAAAACAGCATTAGCTAATAGAAATCAATTGTCAAATAATAATAACAAATGTTATTTTACTTTTTAATTTCCTACACAACACTGAAAATTAGTTTAATTGTCAGTAGTGCAAAAACTATAGTATGCTTAAACAATCTTTTATCTCTGCTTTCTTCATGTTTTAACTTCAATGAAGTTGTTAGCAATAATGAAATAATTTTCTTAATTTGTATTTAAGTTTTTTATGCCACAAAGATTTAACTGATGCAAAAGACAGCATAGATTTGCCATAAATATTCCTTTAAAAATACAATAATAAAACAGTGAATATTGTTTGTTACAGTAATTTACCTAATTATATTAATAATTTATAAATAAAAACAATAAGCTGAGTAATAAAGATCTTTACCTTTTCATTAGAGCTGCTACTGCCTTCATCTGCAGCATTATTCTGTTCATCATCTTCATTATATGTCAAGCCTACAATGTCAGATGTCTGTTTTGATATTTTATATAGATCCTAAAAAGTAAAAATGAAGCATGAAATACAAATATATTATAAATAATAGAATAAAAATAATGGCCTCGTTAAAATAATATCATTTTACAAACATAAAAAAAAGCCCATAACTTTCACAACAGAAATAAAACCAACGAAAGAGAAACATACTAACTTAGCATTATCAAACTTTTTTTCTGACTTATCACTCTCCTCACAGCAAAATAAATGCACAGTTTAATTCATAACACTTATTAATATAAGTTTTTACGAGGTAAAGCATAAAAATATTTTAATAAAGTTTGAATACCACGCTTTCAAAATACAAAAATTTTTAAAAAAAGATAATGAAAGATTTTTTTGTAATACAACCTCCTGGACTACACAAGCAATGAATTACACAGTTTTGATAAACATTTAACTTCCATGTACAAAGAGTAGCATTAAGGTTTCCTTAAGTTATAAGTAGAACTAACTCTAAAGATTTTATTAATATAAAGAATGAATTTAAGGATTTTTGTCTTACAAATGAAATTTTGAATTAACTTTTCCATCATTTTTATATACATAATAGATTTAATTTCAGTACAAAAAATATAATTAGCAGGATTTATCTCAAAGAAACTGAAATAAAGAGATGAAAAGTACTAATTTTATTTTTTCAAGTCAATAAGAAATTTTTTTAATTCTAGAAATAATTAGTTAATAATTGAGACACAGAATACTCTGACAAATGTAAAATATAATATACCTCAAGTTCTTCTAAATTAGTTGCCTCTTTCCAAGTCTTATCACTACGCACTTTTGTCAAACGTGGGAATCTGATTGAAATTCCCTTAGCAGAATGAATATCAGTTTGAGTGAATTCTGCACCAGTTATTTCCCATACTGAGGATTTCTAAAAAAAAAATTAACAAAAATAATTCATTATCACAACAATAAATTATGCATATGAGAAAAAGATAAACAGAGGCATAACCAAAGTGGCATCCAATGGTCATAATCCCTCTGCAGAGTAAAAAAAAAAATTCTAAGAAATTATTTTAAAAGTAATTTTTAAAAGATGTGTACAATTGCTTATTTTCATACATATTTATTCTAACTTTTAACACTAAATTCTAACTTTTGTCAAATTTTCATACATGAAATTCTAACAAGACTAATCATTATCTATCATATACAATCCAGTCATCAATGTATATTAGATACAGACTTATGCAAATAAAAGTGTGAAACAATATTTCAGAAATAATAATCAATTTTAACTAATTATATAAAAAGTACCTCATAAAGATAAACATAAAAATTGCGATATCACGAATTAATCAAAATATTGCATTCATAAAATTATTTCAAAAAGAATTCAGTTTATTAGAAAAGGGTAAAGTAGAAACTTCATTAGAAAAGACTAAAATAAACTGGAAACAAATGTTTTATTATAATGCATAAATAGCATTGAAAATTGTCTAGATCCATCTTGTAGTCAATATTTTTTTTTTTGGTAACAAAGAGATGTTAACAAAAATATTTACATATAAAATTTATCTGTACAAATTTAATCTGTACAAAATAATATATTTATTATACATTAAAAATAGTTAGTAATAATTAAAAAATATTCTAAAACCTGCGTTATTCAATAAATTAAACCATTAATTGTTAAAAGTTATAATACAAACTTATAAAGTAATGTATATAGAAGCTAGAAGCATAACAATAAATTTAAAATAGACAAAGATTATAATTTGCCCGAAGCTAAAAAGGTCACTTAGAAAAATGTTAATGTCTATATATAAACAACATTTGCAAATAATATGTCACAAACATAAAGAATTATAGATTTCTAAAATAAAATTAAAAAAATCAGCTGTTTTTTTTTACCTTAGGATCAAGAACAACAAAATCTGGAACCATTGAATCATGAATATTTAACCAGCTAGGGACTTGTGTACGATCCTAAAATAAATATCATTGTTTAAAATTCCATTAGGTCCTTAAATGAAGTGAAAAGGAAAAACTATTTCAGATAAACTATACCCTGCCAATTTTCTTCATGTTTGGTTCAAATTTCTTCTGCAACTTTTCGATGTCATCTTCTGTGAGACCATTATGAACTTTGGTGACAGTGCAAAATTTTTTAGTTTTTGTATCATAGCATCCCATTAAAAAAGTTGACATATTCCCTCCTAAAATTACAAATAAAGTTTACATATTTCAATAAAAGATGATAAAATACAAACAATATAACAAAAAAAAAAGAAAGCTTAGAAGCATTGGACTAGAAAAGCAATATAAATTAATATTTAACATGGACTAAACAATAAAAGTGAGCATTAAAAAAAAATCAAATATTGCTATAGAGATTTTACAGATTTGCTGAAAATAATAAATAAATGTGAATCTGTTACTTCATCACAGTAATTAAAAAATGTAAAATTATTAAATGAGATTCATTTTTACAAAAAAGTCCTTATCCTGAAGGTAAAGCTACAAGTCTGAACCTTCTATTTAAATCGTGGATGGTACCAAAGTTCATGAACTATCGAATTTTACAACATTTATAAATTTCTAGCATTAATCATTAAAATAAAAAGGCATTCGTTTAAAATTTTAATTTCTTAGATACTTCACATTACTTATTTTAAAAACTACAATTTTGCTTGTTGAAAACAGGATGTTCTTATCACACACAAAGATCAGAAATATTAGAACAAAATGCTAAAAATCACGTCACAGAAGGAGAAAACATTTTTATGAGGAAAATTAGGTTTATCAGGACAACTATGAATCCTGAGACATTAAGAAATTTTACTTAAACATGAAAGCTTGATGCTATTATTTTTTAACTTTAACAAATACAATTTATTTGTAGATGTAAGAAATAATTAAGCTTACCAAATTTTCCAGTGCCATAAAATGCTCCAAGAATAATAAGATCAGCAGTGTCAACCATATTATCATCTTTCAAATAATCTTTCTTAATTTTAAGCCAATGTCTCTTACCAGGTTCATAAACACCCTAAAAACATATGAAGCTGCTGATTATAATACTATAAAAATAAATAAAACATATAACTATACTACGAACTTTTAAAAAATAATAATAAAATAATAAATGTAAAAAATACATTATCAATTCATTTACAATATTAATGAATTTTCATGCATACAAATTTGGATAATTTAAAAAAATGCTATCCTCTTTTGTTACATTAAGGACATTAGAATCATAAAACCATAGAAACACAAAAGTTGCATAAACGAAGAAAAAAACAGCAATTATGGTGTCGTTAAAAAGAATTATTTAAGATTAGTTTGTGATAAAAAAGATAAATAAATTATATAAAGATAAATTATACACAATGAGAAAAACATTAAACTTGCATATAGTAAACAATTAGCAGCTGGTGTTTTTAATAAATTTATTCAAATGCAAGCAATTCTCTTTGAACAAGACAAGAAATTGATTTGTATATAGAAACCAATTAACAGTTAGTGCTTTAAAAATAAAATGAGTTATCATATTTTAAAAGAAAATTATATGAAAAAAGAAAGTAAAAAACATAGCATGAAGAAACTAATATAAACATAAACTAATATGAACAAACAATTTATGATAATGAGAAAATTTACAAGAAAATTTTAGAACAAGAGTATTAGACAGTGTTTAGTTATAAAAATGAAGGAAGTTAATTTTAGTGCATTTTAAAAATAACAAAAAACACTTACATCTTTACCTTTTACAACAACTCCTTCTAAGCCTTGCTTGAAAACAGATCTTATAGTCCCTTTCAATTCTGCCATTTTCTAAAACAAATTCCATTTAATTGGCATTTAAAATTGAAACAAATTCAATTAAACACTTTATCATGATAAAAACTTCAAGAAAACCCTTTGTTAATTATTTTAATGAAATGTTTCTAATTTTTAAATGAAATAATACAGTTTAGGCAATAAACATCAAGTTTTTAAAAATTTCAGATCAAAATACTTGCATAGGAAAGCTTGAACATTAAATCAAAATATATAATTATGAGTGATTAGAGTATAATACTCGATATCAAAGAACTATTTGAAAGAAAAAAAGAAAAAACAGTTTTTACAAGCATGTAAATCAAATCTAAATAGACATTATCAATTGAGCTAAAAATACAATCATACATTAAATAATAAATCAAGTATTAAAATTAACGAAGCTTCAAAGGTAAGAACAGTTAACTCTAATATATTACAGAAAAAAATTGTGAAAATTGAAATACATTTCTCTCTATACATCATATTTTGTAGTGTAGAAATCAGGCATATTTCGAGCATATTTTTGTTAATCATCTATAAACTAAAGATTTCAGCTATTAAACTAAAACTAAACTTAATCCCAATGCAACATACTTCTAAGGCAGAGGTGTCAAACTCAATTTCGCAGAGNATTAATGTAGAAATAAAATTCCAAAAAACATATAATATAATAAAAATAAAATATATTAGTAAAATGTGTAAAATTTAAAAGATTTTATTTCTTAAAATATGTTTTAAAAAAATATCAATGAGCAAAAAATTTTATATTCAAACATAAATATAAATAAAAACATAATATCTATATACTAAATGCATTAGAAGTTTAGTAAAATTCTTAAAACTCAAAAAAAGACCATTAATTATAACTTATATAATTTAAATCTTCAAATATTGCAAAAAACTCTGTTAATTTTCATTCTATTAACAAGCAAATGTAAGTAGGTGCCATGTATCACTAAAATTCTAAAATATATTCACTTAATAAACATTAATTTATAATAATTCAAGAGTTTTATGAGGGAAGGTTGCTAAGTAACATTTAAAACAAAACAAAAAGTTTTTAAAAAAATATTTATTTTAATTCAATTACACAATATTGATTCATTTTACTAAGTCACTAGATGTTAGAAATCTCAGTGGAAGATGCTAGTATATTTCAGGTCTAAGAACTTTAGATTCAGCAGCAAATTAAAACATCAGGATAGGAACAACTTAAATGCGATTTTAGTTATTTTTAAGTTTAAGGGCAAAAAATAAAAGTAAAGAATAATATTTATTTCCTCTATCCATGCATTAATTTTAAATCTGATCTATTTACTATAATGTCACTTAGAACACTCATTCTTCACTAAGCTATTCAATTATAATTTTAATCCCACAGAAATGATACTTTTTTTAAATTTTATAATTTAATTAAAAATATATGTTTACTTCAAAATATGTTGAATTTTTTTTTACAAACATGTTATGTAAATATACAGGAAAAAGTAGTATATAAATTATTATGAGCTATAAGTAAACATTGCCAGAATATGGCTTGCAATCTAAAACTAAACTCAGCGGCGCGACAGCCCATAGAGGACCAAGACCTACTGTGCCCATCTCAGCTTTCTTGACCTTGGGCTCTGGGGTGCAGGAGCAGATATTCCGGTCAGGTGGTCAGCCAAACGCGGAATTCCCAGTGTTTAGTTCCCAAGCATGCTTGGTACTCATTTATTGACGCATTGAAGGGATGAAAGGCTGAGTCAACCTTGCCCGGCCCGAGGATCGAACCAGGGACCTGTGGCACGACAGCGCGAAGCACTACCGCTCAGCCACCGGGCATCGATGGCTTGCAATCAGGAAACAAAATTATTTTAAAAATTGCCTAAAATAAATTTGCAAATTATCAACCTGATAATTATAATAGTCATATATGTTTTGGTGCATTTATGCTATGTGACAATATATAACATTTAATAAGTAAGGATAAAGTGCTACATTTTTATATAGTACAAGTTTAAAGCTTGAATAAGCTAAAGTATGCTTATAAATATATAATATTTTTTTAATACTAGCAGAAAAAATAATAAATTATTAATAGGTAGATCAGTTGAAAATGAACTTTAAAAAAACACTTATTATAAAAACAGCTGTGAGATTTCAGACAATAGAATATTTAAAATTTCGTAAACAGTGATTGGTATAAATAAACATGTATATATTTTAATGGAAGAAATAAAACCACAAATAAACACAGCAAAAAACCCACTTTAAAACCGTTTTAAAATAAAGAGCATAGAGCAAAATTTGAAAAACTTTAAATAGCATAAAAAAAGCCACAGAATTTCCGTTTTTGCAACGTTTTTATTAAGAAAAAAAAGCATTTATTATAAGGTAAAAATATATTATCTCATAAAAATTACATATCTGTTTTATATAATCAACGAACATTGTTAAATTTTGTTTGAAATATCACATTTTGCTTGCAAAAAGCAAAGCATTCCCTTATTGTGTGCTATAAAGATTAAATCTCAATTTTTCTTGTAAAATGGCAAAATTTATAAAAAAGAGTTTACTTTACTCTAATTTACCTTCTTTTTGAAGAAAAAATATAATTAAAATTAAGAAAATTGACAAAAAACTCTCTGAATAGCATATTAAATAAAATATAAAATAAAAATTCCTGTTATAATGATGTTTATTCAGGGTGCGTAGCCAAATCTTTGAATCAAAAATAAGCACTTTTTAAAAACTTTTTAAGCACTTTACAAAAATTTTCAAGCACTCAAAAAACTCATATTCAATCAATGATATTATTGAAAAACAAAAACTTCTTATAAACAGTTTTAGCGTTAAAAAAAAACCCAAAAAGAGACGGGCGTAAATTGAAACAATCAGTACTTTCCCACATCACTGAGTGAATTCAACTTGACCCTGAACTCAGAACAAAAGTACCCTTACCCCCTACTTCAAAAAAAGTGTTAGAAGTAAAATAAAATAAACAAGAACAAAATTAAAAAGAAAAACATTTCATAAGGATCTGATATTCTCTATCCGAATTGGAGCACTCGGGTTTCGGTTTCAAGTGTGCGCGCATGCGCAAGTCATAACGTGGGAAGGACATGAAGTGCGCGTGAATGTTTACGTAGCAAACTCCCCATTTTTCGTGAAATGCATGGGATCCACCAGATATCACTGAAGGGGGAAAAAATTATTCGGAAAAAAAGCACTTTTCAAAAACGCCAGCTGAAAAAAGCACCTTTAAAAGCTTTTAAAAACGAAATCCCCAAAAAAGCATCTTTAAGTACTTTTTACAAATGCTACGCACCCTGTTATTGAGAGCAATAACTTTGTATGATAACGTTGAGACTATAAAAAAAGCATGGAATCTAACAATTGATAGTCAGGGAAAGAAGAATTGTTCACATGAATGACTTGAAATTCAATTCACAAGATCATAAAACTCACATATAAAAACAGAAGATAAGATAAGATTTCACAATTTCATTACATGTGCTGAAATATAATGTAAGTAGAAGAAAAGAAATTAAAAGAGGAAAAAATAATTAGTTCTTTTTTTAAAAGAGGAAAAAATAATTAGTTCAATTGAAATATTTTGATAGGTTATAATAAATTTCTTTAAAAAACTTTGCTTATGAAACAGAAAAAACATCTATACTTTAAAACTATTAAAAACAAATGTAGTATCATAAAAAAATTTCTAAAGGAATAAGTTTTCATTAAAAAATATTTAAAGTATTTTTTTGAAAAAATACAATTCAACCAAAAAAAAAATTTTTTTTTAAAAGAAGAGCAGATTTAAAAAAGATTAATACAAAATATATATACTCCTGTTCCTGTAAATATACCAAAAAGTAATCTGATCTTTTAGTTCATTTTTTAAAATAATTTCCCAAACCTATTTGTAATTGGTACCTTTTTAAATAGTCAGTCAGTTCACTTTTTGTTTTTTTCCTTAACAGATAAAAGTAGTAGCACAAATGTCCCCCATTATTAATATTTATTTTGCAGAAATATAGTTCTGTCAAACATAATATTTTAATAATAAAAATCTTTATATTTGTTTCTGAAATCAAAGCAATGTGCATATTTTAAAGAATAAGATAACAAAACTAATAATACGGCTCATATAAGTAAATATTTACCACTTTTTTTTCACACAGCTAATATGCATATACCACTTTTTGTGGTTGAGCAATAATGGGTTAAATTCAAAAGGCAAGATATAAGTTTTTATTTTGTTTTTCATTTAAAATTTCTTAAAATAGATAGAGTTAAATTTTAATCCAAACTTACAAAGATATTGCCTTAATATATAAAAATTAAAAGTTTTATTACCAAAGTGGTTTGTAAACTTAAATTAATATGTATTCAAACAAAACATAAAACAAATTTAAGTCTATTCAATTAAAATAAATTTTTACCTTGTGAGCCATGACAGGCTTTAAACTTCGGCTGAAGTAGCTAAACTCGTTACCCTTTTTATGAAGCTGTACTCTTTCTCCATCATATTTAATTTCGACAAAAAACCCGTTTGGACACCTTTTAAATACATCTTCGTAAGATTTACATGCCATTGCCTATAAATGAAAATCTAGTATTAAATTTGAACACATATGCAATTAATTAAAATAAAGAAAGCTATTCAAACAATTTCTTAATTTTTGATAGAGCCATTTTTTGTAAAAATGATATGTAAAAATATTGTTGGGCTTGGTATAGATTTATAAAAAGAGATTCATTTAGCTTATAATCAAAAGTTTTTTTTTCTATTATAAACCGCTCTAGAGGTATGTGGCAAACAATGGCAAACTTTCAGAAGCATGAGTTAAAAAGATAAATTTTCTGTTGACAATCTTAAACCCATCTAGAACAACCATTAAAACACCTAAAAGCTTGACTCAATTTTTTATTTTCATAAAAAGTTTGCCTCTTCCTTAGAAAATATTAATTTTGAAACAATAAAAAGCAAAATGTGTTGACCTCAATAAACACAAAGCAGACACACAAAAATTATGAAAAATGATAGCAAATAACAAACTTACAAGCATTGGTAAAACAGGAGTCATTAATGAACTTTGAATCACCAAATCTTTTTGAGAGCCTGTCCCTGAATTTTGCTTTACTGAACGATTAATAATATCCTTCAGATTTCTAGAAGCTTGAAATGCTGCATAAGCATCAGGATGAATAGATTCAAGACTAAAATAAAAATAATGAAAAAATATTTAAAAAATTTCATTTGTAGCATTTTTGGGGCTCATAGTATTATGATTATTATTATCGAAAAATAATCAGGACAATATATATACATAAACATGACCCTTTTTGGAGCAGCATAAATATATAAGACTATTTTAGAATGAGTAGATGATAAGCTAAATAAAAAGAAAAAGTTTTTCAACTTCAGTATAAAAAGGTGAATTTCATTGCAAAAGAACAAAAGAATAAAATGTTTTTAATTTCAGAATAACTTTTGCTTAGAACATAAAGTTTTAAAAACTTTCTGTAAAATTTTATTATTGGAGCACTGAATATCTCATAATAATTTGAGATTAATATATATATAAAAAAATTTATACTGCAGTTTTTTAAAAAAAATAACCAGTATAAGTTAGATAACATTCCTTCCTACCAATATTTAACTGAAATTTACAATTAAGCTCAAGATTTCTTTAATCAAATTAATTTAATATAGGGTTTTAAAAATCTCAAAACAGAAACATAGTAAAAATGCAACTTTGCACGGAACTAATTCAGATCATAATCCTTTAATTCACTATTTAAAAATTCTATGATAAATTTTCTGTATTGTTGATTAAAATTGACCATAAATTTGATCATAGGAATCTATTATAAATCGATCTTTTGAATCTATCATAAATTGGTCATTGGAATCAAACATTAAAATCAATCATTTGAATTAATCATTGGAATCAACCAATAAAATTATACGTCTGAATCCTATTTAAAATTATGTAAGGGTCCTTAAGTTTGAACAATCAAATTTTGTGATTTTTACTTGTACTATTGATTAAAATAAAAATATGTTGAATTAAAAATTCAACTCCTTCCATTCGTCAAGACAATTATTTTATAATTTACATTTGTTTTCCTAGAAAATGGGATGTTCTAAGCACACATAAATATCAGGAATATTAAGAAAAAATATTTTTATCTGAAAAAATATGAACATCATGACAACTACAAACCCTGCACTTTGTAAAGTAGAAAAACATATATCCAATAAAACTTGAATTAAAAGTTTTCATTTGCTATTGACAGTCCTCACACTTCTATTATTCCTTTCTTCACTTTATTTATATATTTTATTTAACTTTAAAAATATATTGTTATTCAATAAATGAAGACTATAATGGTAGTGAAGACTATAATGGTAAGTGAAATTTTTGTGCAAAATTAATTTAACATGCCAAATCTCAATAGATGAAAGTACTATTGTCAGTTTCTTAGCATGAATGAGGAGGAAGGTTTTAAGTGCAATGGACAACAAACAATCAACAAGCAATCTTAGAATGTTGCTCATTTTGCAAAAAATAAAAAAGTCAAGAGAGAAGAATTTGCAAATGTTATCAATTGGAAGCTTACTGACAAGAAATTAAGAAGCAATCTTTTATTTTCTACTCTCATTAAAAAACGTAAGAGCAATTTACTTAAATTATTAACAGCATTTAAAGCTTTAATAAAATCATCTCTTTAAATTTAAAAAAAAATTCTTTTTAATTAGAACAAAATTTTTTATATATATTTCATTCATTTGCTTCTGATGAACAATCTTAAACAAATTGAACATCAGCATTTCTGTGCAATCTCAAGTATCATGAGAAAATATCTGAGAATAAGCAAGAACAAAGAAATAAGAATTTTTTAAAGCTTAGTAATAAACATTATTTGCATGTTTTGTACATTTTTCTTGTATTTTTGCATGTACATGATCACAATTAAGTTTACAAATCAAAAAATACAAAAAACATTCATACAAATATTTACATTTAAATAATCTTTGTAATATTTATTATGTATTTTTGCTACAGTTTAAAATTGATAGTTTGAAGCATTTAAAAAAAAACATGATATACATTTTGAAGTTTATAAGCACACCAGATTTTTTAAACAATATTAAATGAAGACGTATGTTTTTTTTTTCATAATGGTATATATTCATATGTTTGCAAAGTAACAAATTTTATCAGCCTAGATGAAAATAAAAAATGATATTAAATGTTTTTCTTTAATTGGTAATAGTAAATAGCAAAAGTATTATTATTTTTTAAACTATGGTCATATTGTTTATACTGCACGTAATTAGCTGTTATATTTAATATACAGTGTTTTCTGGACACACTTAGTAAAATACTAATACATAAAACAAAGCTATAATAAAAATCAACCAGAAATCAACTGAAATAATATATAAAACTTTATAAATAGAAACTTCTATACTTACACTGGTTTTGGACCAGCATTTATTCGTAAATCATGTTTCAAAAATCTAATAATCATTTTTAAATCATTCCCAGTACATCTAGAATAATAATATACAAATTAAAATGTGCAGAAAAGGAAGTTACTGTGCAAGTTATAGTAGTAAACAATTATATAATGTTACAGTCATAAACAGCATCGCAAAACATTTGAAAATTTTAGGAAAGTTTTGTTTTTAATGCATTATTTGAATGTCATGAGGAAGAAGAAATAGGTTACTAAATTGAAAAGAAAATTATTAGGGAAAAAAATGCACATTAAGAAACAAAAATTTCTAATCAAATGCCAATCATTTGAGTTCTGGATACTAAGCACTTTTACAAAAGTAAAAAAAAGTATCCATTCTATAAAACTGAATTACATAAAAAACTCTTTTGTTTTTTTAATGCATTTGAATCATTTGATAAGGCACACAAAGTAAAATGCTTTGGGGTTTAATTCCAAAAGAAACGTAAATATAATACTTTATAAGTATTTTAATTAAGGAACTTAACAGGAAACAATGACATGCCACAAGTATAAAGAAATTGAGTTTCAAAGAATTAAAAAAACCTGTACAATATAACATACACTTTTAGTACACTTTGAGAAGGTTATATTCTTCAGAAATGCCCGACATATAAACAAAATTAAAATTGAAAGAAAAAAAAACAGTTTTTTATATATTTTCTTTTAAAAAATTATTGCATAAAATAGTATTTAATATTATTGCACTTACTGATATTCAATATTACTGCTATTAAAATAAATTTTATAACTGAATGGAAAGTTTTGTGAGTTTTTCCATTGTGGTAAAATATTTATACATGAATACAATTCAATAAAATTTTACAAGATAAAGGAATATATATAGTGGAACATCAACTTTATGTTTTTCATTGTACTAGCATTAAAAAATGCACAAAGCATTATAACGTAAAATGAGGGTAAAAAAAAATTAACGTACATTTTTCAAAAATTTACATTCACAAGGTGAGCTACAAGAAAAAAAGTGTTATCTTTAAATAGTTTTTGTTTTGATACAATAACAAAATTATACATCTCTATTGTTAAACTATTGCTTGCAAATTTTCTTTATAGTTTAAATCCGCAAATGTTCCAGAGTTTTCATGCTTTCAAACTCATGATCTGTTGTGGGTATATCCTCCTTTATTTTTTGCTCATCTTCATTGTTTCCATAGCAATCATCGGGAAGCAGAAATTAAATCAGGTATTGAAGAAATTGAAAAGTAATGCGGTATGAGTAGTGTCATCAATTCCATTCCGCCATTTTATTTTGAAGGACCAATGTTCTGATTGGATACCGAGTGGCCTAATTAAACCCCTTTGCAAGAGATTTTAGTGGACAAAGCCAAATGCTATAGAAATCAAATCCAGAGTTTTCGGAAAAAATTTTTTTTACTTCAGAAGCATTTTGCAGATCACTGGAATCACAAAATAATGATTACCTAACCAGTTGATTGGTTTATTCCAAGAGCCAATGGTTGAAATTTGTTAGAAAAAAATTCACTCGTAAATTTCATAATTTAAGCTCCCATATTTCCTTTAGCCATATTTCCCGGGCTTTGCCCTTCTTACCACACTTATGTCTTTGACTCAAAGGAGAAATATCATCTCACTAACAAAAGGTGAATAACGTAGAATAGAAATCAGAAAAGCTACAAACAGCTAATAAACAAGTCTCTAAAAAAAATTTAAAAAAATCTCAGAAAAAGTTTGAATGATAAGTAATAAATTTATAGAGAAAAAAAGTGATTTTGATCTGTTAGAAAAACTTATAAAGCAAGAATTTCTTACATATGGTAACGTAAACTCTGGGATAATTTCACATTATAGGTAAAGGTAATTTTCCCAGACCAGCATAAAATAATCTAGAAGGAAGGGATAACATACGGAACAGACAACATAAAACTGGGGTTCCACTGTATATATTTTTAAATAATTGTTTCAAATAAAGTTCAAAATTAAATTTTAAAAAATACTTCTTTGCAATTTCCGTTAAAATAGAAGATTGGTCGAACTCTCTGGAAACTTGAGACAATCTATGCAAGTATTTATCAACCTAAAATGCAAATTGTAAAATGTATATAATATAATATTCAGATTAAAATACATTTATAGAAATGCTAATGTATATATTTTTATAGTATAAGCACCTATACTTCAAAAATGCAATGGCAAGCATTTGGGCGTATGGTATTCAGAAAATTTATTCTATTACTCACAATATAAAAAAGTGCTTTTATGAGAAACTGTGACGAAAATATAATTTTAAAATAATAAATAATTGTCACAATTTAATTTTTTATTATAAATCAGTAATAAATTTTAAGACCACAATACATGAAAAATATAAATATCTTCTACAATGACAAATTATTGAAATGATATCTAAAATGGCAAATATGTTAAAATTTTGAATATAATTGTTAATATAGGTGTATCAAAAAAAAGGAATTAATAAATAATTTTAACTTTCAAAGTTATAAAATATAACGAGTATGTATCAAAAATAACAGTAGGTACTTTTTAATTATGTAAACTAGCATTATTCTAGTATATTACATTTATTATAAATAGTTTCTAACATACAGAAACTGAACTATTATAAATTGTAATTTATTTATATTAATATTTAAAAATTAAAGCACCATAAAAAATAATTTAAGTAATTTCAATGAATAATTCACTTGGTAAACCCTGGCATGTCCCACAATTCTATTCCATTCCAGACAGCCCTCCTTTTTTTTTCCTTCTCCCTCCACCTACAAATCTTTATTATTTCTAATCGTCAATAATATCGTTCTTCGACTTTTTCTTTGGGCAGCCTCTAGGCCTGGTTTCCAAAGGTGTCCAGCTGATGAAGCTGTAATTATTATCTCTCCTTTCTATGTGTCCAAGCCATGAGAGGCGCTGGGATTTGATAAAGCGAACAATATTTTTTCGGTTTATGATTTTCTCAATTTATAGGTTGGACCTAATTCTCCTTTCGCCTCTTTCATTAATAGGTCCTATTATTCTCATCAGGACCTTTCGTTCAAACACCAGAAGGTCATTTTCATATTTTTTGGTCATTGTCAAGGTTTCACTTTTATATGTCACAACTCGTCTGATAATAGTCTTATGAAGCTGCATTTTTAAAAATTTTGTACGTAATTTATATTTCAAAAGTTAACTGTGTAAAAAGAATGACTGTTTCCTTTTAAGAATTTTTACACATATTTCTTCTGAGTTACTTCCTGAATCAGTGATGATGGGAGCCAAGGTAGGTGAAACTATGCACTCTTTCAAAATCAGATCTACAGTAATTTTGTTATCTGATCAGTTGTAGTCTTACTTTTTTCCCTGTACTTTGCTTTTACAGCATTATTTTTAAGTCTCACATCCTCTGCTGCTCTGATTAAGCATCTAGCGATGGAGGTCAAAGCTGATGTTTTTCTACTTAGAATCACCGAATCATCAGCAAAAGGGCAAATCTGTGATGTTTTGTAGCAGTTGTTTCCTCTTAAGTCAAGTTGTCGAACAATATGTTCCAGAATCGAATTAAATAACAGGGATGAGATCTTTATTCATTATTTGACACATATCAAATCAGGATTTTGAGAACAACTTTTATTTTTCATGGGTTGTCTAAAGTTTTACTAAAATATTATCTATAGATTCTACGGTATAAAACGTGTTATGAGAACCTAACATTTTAACTAATTGCCATAGAAATAAAGATTTCACAGCCACATTGAGCTTTACTTCCTTTAAAAATTAATCGAACTAGTAGTTAAATAATATTAAAAATAGAAAATGGAAATTTAAACTTAAGCTATCAATTTAAAATAAATTAGATAAACTTGTTTATTAAAAATTTTTTTGTTTAGTTTCAAATATCTGTGTGCCACATTTGAAAAGTATCAAAGAAAATTTTTTAAAAAATGAAATTGAATATAAATTAACAAAATAGATAGTTACATCTTGCAAATAAAGAGTACTTTTATTAGCTGGAGGACAAGCACTAGAATCCTCAAAAAAAGTGCTAATTGTAACTGCAACATCTCCAGCAGAGTCCCCCTAAAAAGTTTAAATTTGAAAATAAACATAAAAAAATGAAAGATAAAAATATATATAAATTAATTTAAAAATATACATTTTGAGTTTCTTAATTTGGCTGTTTAATAAACTATTTTCCAAATAAAAAACCAAATGCACTATATGACAGTGTGCAAATAACCACTCAAACACTTATGAGAGGCTCTTATATAAAATTCAGCATTTAGGAGTAGTATAGTCACATAATTTATGAGAAGTGCTGATACAAAGTCTGGCATTTATGAGTAGCATTGTCCTAGAGTGGTCAAAAAATATCATTGATGTTCTTAGAATATACAATATGCAAAATAAAATTTTAAAAAATTCAGAAACCTTAAAATAACTTTCGATCTAATGACTTATCTTGTGATTTTTATGGCCTAGGACTTAAGCTGGGACTTGTAAGAACCTAACATTTAATATGCTAATTAATTAGTGCAGACAGTATTTTAAGTTATGAAGTAAAAAAGTACTTTCTCTGAATAAATGTATTTTCATCTAATTTGGATTACTGATTTGGACTTAAAAATATAGGAGATGCTTTATAACTGGAAAATATGGTCCCAATAGTTTAACTCTTTAAAGACCGAAGCAGTGGAAATTTTACCACCGTTAACATCCTCAGTTTTTCAGAAGAGAAAATTCACAAATGAACTCACCCTCTTTGTTGGGGGTTCTCTTTAGTCATTTGCTTCTCAGCAGGTCATTTGCTCCCCCACGTCACTAATAAATCAAAGGCGTGCTCTACTTGTCAGTGAAACTTCATGGCATTCAAACTGACAATCGGCTTGCTTATTTTTTCCCCTTGGAACGTTTTTCTNTATGAGAGGCTCTTATATAAAATTTAGCATTTAGGAGTAGTATAGTTACATAATTTGTGCTGATACAAAGTCTGGCATTCATGAGTAGCGTTGTCCTAGAGTGGTAAAAAAATATCATTGATGTTCTTACAATATACAATATGCAAAATAAAATTTTAAGAAATTCAGGAACCTTAAAATAACTTTCGATCTAATGACTTATCTCGTGATTTTTATGACCTAGGACTTAAACTGGGACTTGTAAGAACCTAACATTTAATATGCTAATTAATTAGTACAGACTGTATTTTAAGTTATGAAGTAAGAAAGAACTTCCTCTGAATATATGTATTTTCGTCGAATTTGGATTATTGATTTGGACTATAAAATATAGGTGTCTTAAAACTGGAAAATATGGTCCCAATAGTTTAAAATGGTGAGTGGTTGAAATCTTGAGCCCCTAAGTGAAAGTTTCCCTATTCGCATATATTATCGCAAAAATATTCAGATATATAACTTCACTATGCATACAGAATTCATGAAGTTAATCAAAAACTTTTTGCTCGAAATTATAAAGCTTCTTTATTCAAAGAAAATTCCACATAAAATATTTTTATCACATTTTTTCAAATTACTAATGGTCACTAAATTTAGATCCATAAAGTTTACAGATTTGAAAGGAAAATCAAACAAATAGCAATATTGTTGATAGAAAAAAACAAGAGAGAAAAAAAATAGAGAGAAAAAAAATAGAGAGAAAAAAAACTGTGGTGTCTGATAGTAAAATTATTCAGTGTTATACAGAGACAGGACAGAGCTAAGATTATTATTTTAAAAAATTGCATTTAGTTTTCAAGAGTATCAAGGTATACTGTCATGTCACAGATCTTAGGTAATAAGAAATAAATTTTATGGTTAAGGCAAGAAATGATTTCTTAAGAACAGCCACGTCCATTACATTCTTTAATTTTAGATTGAAGAGTGCAATTAACCAACCAGTGCAATTAACCAATGCAACCAACATTTAGTTTGAAAAGCATGTAATAAATTCTTTAGAATTAAAAATTATATTTGGAAGATGACTAAAATTTATTTTAAGAATTGGCTTGAATTAGACTTTTAAACCATATTTTGGAAGAATGTAAGAATTCAATTAGTGCCAAATTGTTAACGACAATCAAATAAACTTAAATGGACGAAATGAAATTGACAACAACTGCAATAGTACTTTTATACAAATATCCGGATAATTAACAATGATTTACAGAAAGAAAGAATTAAATTAATCATTATTATCAATTTTAACACAAATATCTCATGTTACAATAGAAATGTATCATATATTTAAACCAAAGTGAAGCATGATTAAGTGAGGTATTTATGAAATTTTCAAAATAAAATTTTAGATTAAAAGACTCAAACTTCTAATTAGTAAAAAATTATATAAGTCAATCAATAATAAAAAAAATGCAGAATAGAGATATTATGTAGGATTATGTTCAATTGTACCAATCCAGATTATTTTTAAATGAATCCCTTTTCAAATTTTAAGAGATAAGAAAAATTTAAAATTATGACACAACATAAAAATTCATTTTTTTAATTACTACTTTTTCTGATATACCAAATTAAATTTAATCATCAATTGATGTAAAAAATAAAAGATTAAAACAATTGCTTTTAAACCGTTTGATCCAATTAAAATATACAACTATACTATTAAGAATATGCAGAAAGAAACAACAAATGAAAAATAACAATTTGTTTTTGTTTTTAAAATTGAAATAATGTACACATATAAATAAATTTATTGCCAAGAGTCTCACAAAAAAAAAAATTTCTGTAGCATACGATACATGAATGCTTTATTGTTTTCAAAAGGCTTTGCCATAAAAGCAGGGTATGGTTAGATCAGCAACCCATACGTTTTCTTGTCGTGTGAGTTTAATTATAACTACAGAGTTAAATACTTGGCAACCATGATATTAAATGAATGTAATAATCAATTAAATATAAAATTGGATCAGATCAAAAAAATAGATGAAATTAACTTCAAATTACTTAATAAGCTTCAAAATTTTACACAAACAGCAGAGAAAAAATTACTAGGTATTTAAATTTAAATACAGAAAATTTAAATAAACTTAAATACAAATAAATCAAAAATGAAATTAATAGAATAATTAATAGAACATAATTTGAGCTGTGCTATCTTTCTCTATTATCCAACTACTAAAATTATAAATAAAAATGTATGGTGCATAACAGAAGTATAAATTTATCAGCATTAAGCAATTTATGTAAAGATGATATTAAATGTAACCACAAAAGTTTTTTTCTTTTGAAATTTTTAATATTTTTAGTAACCTTTACTAAATAGAAATAATTACTAAATGAATCATATAAAATCAGAAGCATAATTTTACCTCTTCAAAATGTTCCATCATCTCTTCAGCTGAGCACCTAAAGATCTGAAAATATCCCACATATTAAAAAGATTATTAAATATCTACATTAATCACATATTAAATATCCCACATATTTAAAATATCCCACAATTAAAAATACATAAAGAATTTGTACAAATATATATAAAAAGTAAAATAAAATAAATGAAACTTACCCCACTAAATAATTTGATTATTTGTTTTGTTTGAAGATTATATACTCGCTTTTCAACCATAGGCAAAAGCATTTTTGCCCACAAATACAAATTTCCTTTAAAACCATCTAAAAGAAAAAAGAATATAATTACTTAAATGTAGCAAATTTATCACTAGTTGACATCCAGAAAACAAACAGAAATACGATAACAGCAGGATTCAGCAAATGATCCATTGACGGTGTTGGATTTTTTGAGGGTGTATAACGTCATAGACCTGGTCTATCACTGTTGGCCAATGTGGGCATGCAACAACAACAACACGATAACATATAAGAAGTAAATTTTGAAAGAAATGTTAAGTGAATTTCCTTTGTACTCAGCTGTGAATAAAAAGATAACAACAAACATTTCTTTACTCAGAAATAAAGTTCAGAAGCATATTAGTAGTATAGTACTTTAATTATTTCCAACTTGAACAGCACAATGGGCTATCAGCAATAGTCAAGGAATCCCTGAAAATTATACCAAAAACATGCCATCACAATTCTAATCCTCTGCAGAGAGGATGGCTTCCCCAGTTTTGTAGCTCAGTAACCTATGTGTGAAGGCTAGCATTTTAGGGTAGGATATTTTCAGGGATAATTGTGACAAAAAGTGAAAATCTCTGAAAATTTTATGTGCAAGATATCATACCATACATGGTTTTGTAACATAATTTTTTTAAATAAGATTTATAATTAAATTACCGACCAACAAAGAATAGAACACCTTTAAAGTAACTAATTTAAGAAAAATCTTAGCTCTTGCAAGAATCCAAAGCAGTTCCAAACATTCAAAATTTGCTAAAAGTCATTAAATTGCCAAAATCACATTATGTAAACGTCTTGTTTAAAAAAATGCTTACAAATTTAAATTTTAGAGTGCAGAATTTAATGAAAATTTCGTCGAATTATGTTCTTGATGAGCGAAAGGCTTCTAATTTTTATACCCGGGAGGAAAATATGATAACCACAGAATTGCGGGCTACACCCTGAATACAATCCCCCCTGCATTAATGAAGACTGATATCGTACAACCTCGGTCCCTCAGCAGATTGATTAAAGTGATCACCCATTCATTGACCACAGCCAGTGATGCTTAGTCTTGGTGATATGCTGAGAAATGAATCTTATTATTAGTCCAGATAAGATATGCAGCAGCCTCAAAGCAGTGCAGCATATTTAAAGTAACTTATATTATGCAATATTAATGTATTTCGCAGCCATTGTTTATCTAATTTTCTGTTATATATTGTGTACTTTACACATTGTATACTTATAAATTAGAAATAATACCTGTTTGACACACTGCAAATTCAATGTGTGGTTCATGAACTACAAATACAATTATCCTCACTTTACCGTTACTTAAAAATAATAGATGATGCAAACCCACATTTCTTCACTTAGTACATTACATTAAATCTAACATAAACTCGAAGCTATTAACATATAGTACAGCCATTATGTTGTATTTATTGTAATAAATTTTAATATATCATATGCTTTTTCAGGAAAATTTGTTTTTATAAAGCCAAATATAGTATGAGAATTACCCGAATGAAAAGTAAACAGGTATCATAGTATCAGAAGTACAGTAACTATAGTGGTGTTTCATTCAGGGTTAAAAGGGTAGGGAAGAGAAGTGCATTACAGATTGTGAATAAATAATTAAACGAGTGCATTAAAGAGCGTTTGACATTAAGGTAAAGTTGAGCTAAAAATAATGTGTCCAAAACAGAGCCAAACGATATAATAATCTAATTTTCAATATCAAAAATAGTATTTATTAACTCCAATCATTTCACCAACAGCAGTAGTAAATCCAAGAGAATCATGACGTTTGTTGGTCCTAGCTCTTGGCTCAATTAATGTCCGACATGAAAAATTTTATATCACCTTTTTTCTAGGCAATGTCTGTCCAAAACAAACACTTTACTAATATGCTCTTCTTCTGCTACTAAAAATTGGTGAACTGTACATTATTTTAAGTACATTTGCTTTAATTACATCCAATTTTGAACAACTTTACATTCACTTTAAATATTCTCAAGCAAACTAGTTTATCAGTTATAATCAGTCTGCACAGGACACATCTCACCAAAATTTATAAATCTGAAGAGTTGCACTGCTTTAACTATTATATTTTTGAAGTTTCATGCATACTCATTTTTCACATGGGCAATACTTATACACATTTTAAGTTTGGCAACTTACAAACTTTTCATTTTTTATTAAGAATTATTTCATAATAATTCAAATTTATTTATGAGAGAAAGCTATATTTTCAAATTTAATGTAGTAAGACAGTTGTTAGATAAAAAATCAAAATATGAAAGAATATTTTGAAATAACTTTAAAGCAGTGTAATATAATGTGTAACATAAATTAGTAACAATTTGTTCAACATACTTCCATCTGAACCTTTGGAAAAAAATTTAGATAAAATAGCATTTTTCCTTTTGTGTTCTGAAACTTCAGAGAGTTCTGCACATATTTTTCGAAATTGTCTTAAAGAGTCATCTTTGGTTGGAGTGGAATCATCATCATCTTCTTCTTCTATCAAAATAAATAAATAAATAATAATTATAAAAATATTAAGATTGAATTTACATCTAAACATTTGAGTGAGATAAATAACAGAGCCTGTCAAAAGTTAACTAAGTTTTCATTTTAGATCTAGAACACAATTTTCATTTTGGTCTGGAGGTAAAAGTTCTCTTAAACAAATTGATTTATCCATGTTTTGTTTCAAATTTTAAAGCATCATTTAAAGTGAAAATTTATTTTATTTAACATAAGATTTGTAATTTTTTGTAGATTTAAAACATTTTAACAATATAATTCAATTTAATTATTTTACATTCAATTTTCAGTGATACTTATTTTATCCCACCTTTAGTGAAGTATTACATTAAATTATATAATCAGCATAATAAATTAGTGCATATAAAAAAATAAAGCATTTCTTATTGTCTTTTGAAAAGATTTCCCGATTTTAATCTTTAAAGATCGAAAAATTAAGAATTTTTGGTTTTAATCCCTTGTTAAATTATTACTAAATAAATTACTAATTATATGATGATAAAATAACACTCTTTGTACTATATCTTTAGATGAGTATGATATTTTAAATAGGGACCCACTTTTAGTAAAAAAGGACCCAGAAATTTAGAAGTCCTGGGTCTTAAGGACATGAAGTTTCCCTAATCTAACGAACTTATAAAAAAAGAAAGTCAAGTGTTACATTATTTGACTATATTGCATTGGCATACCATTGTAAAAGAATCTATTACATAAAGAATTACGTAACTCCTAAAAATATTATTTTATTCAAATTTTAAAAAAAGCCTTAGCTTTAAATGTCTTAGAAATAGGAGCGATTTGCTATTTTTCGTACAACGTCCTATAAAAGCTATAGATTTGGTAGAACCATCTTTGGCCCACACCTACAACTTTTCAAGCTAGCAAAAAAAAATATTAAAAAAAGTAGACCTCCACATTATTCTGCAACCATTATTGTGAAATGCAATAAACAAATTAAGTGTAATAAATTACTCTGAACTTCTTCTTCATCCACAGGGTCACTTTGCTTTTTAGTTTTCTTAGAGGGTTTAGCAGTTTGTCCAGATGAAAATTCTACATTAAAAAAACAGATTGAAAAACAAGAAGTAAATTAAACAAAATAAATAAGATTATATAAAAAAAATTCTAGAAGCAATATAGATCCAAATCATATAATTACGACTAAAATAAAACGAGTATGCGATAACTACATAATACACTTAACATCAGACAATAAGACAATAGATAAAATGAAAAATTTTCTGCAAACCCGAAATCTCAACTAAAACACTTTCTGCATGCATTGTTTAACTTTTGTAACTAGTTTCAACCCTTTCTTCATCAACTCATTTTGACAAATTTGACTGAAAATCAGAATTTTTTTTTAAAATGCTTAATTTTATTAGAACTCTTTATTGATTCCTGCTACAAGAATGAGTTTGATAATTAAAAAAAAACTGAAAATAGAAATCTAAAAATGTTTTGTGCAAAAAAGACTTTTTAAATAATTGAAAAAAATGCTTGAAATTTAAGCATGAAAAAAGGGTATGCAGGAAATATTAATCCACAGAATGTTATAATATGTTTTAAAAAGAATATGGATGAAAGATTTTTATTATTTATTTAAGTTGTGTGAACATGAATCTCAATGTGGGATTTTTAACTCAGACAAATACAAATCTCCACATTTAATTTTAAAAATTTGCTAATACGAATCTCAAAGTTAGATTTATAAAATAGTGTGAAAACGAATTTTGGAGTTTGATTTTAACAAGATGTGAATACAAAGTCATTTGAACGCATTAGTGGCTCTTAACTCATGTGAATACAAAATGCAATATTTGATATAAAATTGAGAAAATATGAAACACATTCCTAAATTGCGTAAATAGGAAGATTTGTAATGTAATAATAATAATTTGTAACGTAATAAAGAAAAATAGTGGAATGTAATTTTAAATCGTGTTTGCATTGGTAGGAAAAAGCGTAAAACTGAATCTCTTTTTTCTAGTGAAATCAAAAGAGATAAACTTTCTTTAAAGAGGTGAATTATTTTTTCAGTAATAGCAAAACAGTTTCCTAGATGGTGACAAATTTTTGATGAGCGGTGTTCATGTATATAAAGGTCTACTGAATATTAACATAAAATCCATTTAAAAAGTAATACCTGCTATGTATTTCTCGATTTCTGGCTTATGTTCATCATCTAATTCCTCCCATCCTTCAAGATCATCTATATCATCAATTTTTTTTGTCGTTGCTCTTGCTCTTGACAATTTCTCAAATATGCACTTTACATGAAACCATTGCTTCATATCTCCACCACTGTCAGTGAAAGGATTGGGAATAACTTTTGCTATTCTCACCACACCTTTTTCTATCTTAATCTTGCATTCTTTACAACCAGCTGTACCTCGCTTTGCAACATCCACACAATATCGATTTGTAGCCATTCTGAGATATATAAAAAAAAAGCTTCTGCGATAATTTTAGAATTCTGGTATAGACCATATAATAATTTCTTTCTTTCTTATGAGAGCTAAATATTCATATTTCTAAATCTATAAAAATAAATTAATAAAATATTTATTTTTAATATTTGAGGAAGAAACAATGCAATAGGGTAATAAAAAAAAAGTGCAATAAAAACAGTATCAATAGAACCTATAATTTTTAATTTAGTTCAAAATATAATCTGAAAAAGATAAAGATTTAAAAAGTATGCCTTGATAGTTCATTGTTCAAGAATAATTTACTTCAATCCGTTTCATTAAATATAAAGATTTCACAAATTTTTATGATTAAATGTCAGGCAAATGAATAAATAAATGGATAGAATTACATTTATGGAGCAAACTTTTACAAAATGCAATGGTCTGGTTAGCTACATTTATTACATAAAGTCAATTTAGAAAATTTTGTAGATTACAATAATGAAGTGGTTCAGATTGCACAATTTTCTGACTCCACTCACCAACTGTTTTGACTCCTGTTTTTCTTCAAAGAATAATTAGAATAAAAGGAAATCAATGAATAATTAGAAAAATATCTCTTTATAACTAATTATTCATTTAAATTTTTCAGAAATTTTTTTGGTTATATTTTATAAGCATAATATTTTTCGACAATTTAAATATTAGCAATTTCATTGAATATTGCAGGCAGAGGAGACTAGTTCCCTTAAAATGTCATTATTTTTTTTAACGAAATTAAACGAAATTAACTTTATAACCTGATTGACAATTTTTGAATGCTCACAGAATATGTAGCAAGTACAGGAGAATCATAATAAATGTGTCATCTATCAAGTTGGTCCCTTTCTATGATGTTTTTTTATTTATTTTAGTTTCTTAGAAGTTGCCAAGACTTGGCGATTATTCTGTCACTGATCATGATACGGAAATCTCCCCAAAAAATGAACATTTTATATTCATTTGTCTCTTTTTTTTATTATTCTGAAAAGTTAATAAACCGGTAATATTTTTTTGATTGTTTTGGGTTTACAAAATCACAATAAAATTAAAAAACAGAAAAAAAATTGGCAAAAAATTATTATACCCAAGATCTAACTTTTATATTCATAAATGTAAATAATTATAACAATAAAATGAAATAAGAAACTGACATCAAAATGCAAATACTATGACATCATTTATAAAAGGAAATCATAACCATTACTACAAATAAATGAAGCTGTAGTTTAAGAATTAATTTAGCCTTCTCTTCTATTATAGCTCCCTTTCTAAAATAAATAAGTTTTAATGGTAGAAAGAAAGAAGGAGGTTCATTTAACAATAAAATATATTTATGAACATATAAATTAAAAACCAGTAATTTCTTACTTCAATTATGAAAAAGTGAAAAGAGTAAGCATCAGGGCGAAATAAAACATCTGAATAAATTTTGTTTTGATTAATATATGAGTAATCATATACTAATGAACAGTTTATTTAAAATTCCAGCGTATTTTACGTGAAAAAACAGGCTAGCACAGGAGCAGACGATAAAATAAACACTGAGTAGTCATGGTTACAAAGTAAAGTGAGTTTCGTTTTAAATAAGAAATATTGTTTTTGTAAGATTTAAATGTAGCTTAATCATAACAAAAGAAATCTTATTCATTAATGAAAAAATTTCCTTGAAATATAAAGTTTGAAGAAGATCACTTTGCTTTCAGTTTCTGTGGGAGAAATAAAAGAAGTACGCAAATAAGTAAGATTTATACCTTTATATGAAATCTCTACCCAAATAGCATATAATGTTTGAAATAAATTTTGATTAAATATCTTTTATGTCAATTTGAAATCAAAAAAAATGACAGGTTTGTGAGTTATTTCTCTGTTTTTGCATACTTTTCTTTTTTTGATTTGGCAACACGTCTATTTAAGTTATTGAAAATTATTGATATGAGGTCAGCTCTGTGCATTGTATGACTCTTGCTGTCTGCAAATGTTAATTTATTTTTTTGCTTCTTACTTTTATGTTTAAACTGTAGCAATATTTTTAGTTCCCGCCCGAATGTTTTTATTTCATATTGATCACCTATAGTTCAGGCCGAGTGGTGAAAATGATCAGCTGAACGATACAGGACGTGCGTGTGTTGCAGGAAGCTCATTATCAACCCTGCGTTTATTAACTCGCATTATAACTCCGTGAGGTATTTATTGCACTTATCTAATTCTTTTTTAACGACGCATATCACCATTTAAGATTCTGTTGCTTCTTATTTTCGTCCCTTACTAAGTGGGAGTGGCATCAATGATGTTCATTGTTGTAATCCATGCCTTTGTGCAGTGTGATCATGCATGAATATTATTATAGTTTCTAAGTAATCAACTATCCTATATCAATATTCCAGTTCAAGATGATAAATTATAAAGTCACATTGTGGGGTATATCACATTTTGTATTAATTATTTCTTATCGTATTTACTTTTCTGATCTTGAATGACTCATGTAAACAGGATACGATAGACTGGCGAAAATCATTTATGCATTTACAAAACTTAATTTCTTATCAAACTTAAGCTTAAAATTCAGTGATCACGTATTTATCTTCGTAAATGATTATATTCTGTTCATCAATACTCATTTTGTGAAAAATTTCTTTAAATGTTTTGATATAATAGATTTTAATTTAACTCATTTTATTTTATTATAATTAAATATATGCAAAACTTTGTTGCTAATGAAATGAAAAATTTTTATAAGATAATTAAATCGTGTATCCTGAAACTTTCTTCGATCTATGCTTGAAACTCAACAATATTGTTGTACTGTTATATTTCAGGTAGTAATGCAAATTGCTTACCTTAAATGTTCATAATAAAATTTCTAAATATAAAAAAAAATTCCACACATTGTTAAAACTTTTGAAATTATTTTGGAAAATATTCAAATCCCATGTTTTGTTTATTAGGTCAAATAAAGTAACAGTAAAACATCATGTGACAGCTGTCAGTTATAAGCTATTTTTTAGGATTCTAGCATAATTGAACATTCATTGAAACCAAAATAATTTGGACACCTAGGGGTTTATTTGTGCTTATGGATTGATATTCAATGATTTTTGTCATAATTCAGATACAGCCTGTCAAAGTATGAAAGATATCAATAATGTCTGAAACCAAATTTTTTGTCTTTAAACAGTTGTTTTGGTATCTTAATGTCTTCTATAAATTTGTTAATATTCAAAGTCTAAAAACAGTTGATATTCTAATCTGACTATTTAAATAAAATATTAAAAATAAATTGTTAATGTTTTTTTTATTTATGGTTTCTTTTATTATAGTTTATCTGTTGGTTAGTCTTTTTATATTTCAGGATTTATTTATTAATTTAATAATCTATTTCTCATAAAAGGCTTTATTCTAATAGTTTAAGCAATTATATGTTTAACAGATATGTTAACAGTTATGGCCAATATTTGTTGATATTTATTTACTGATGGAATATAATTTGCATACAGTGTATAAGGATGAAATAAACATATCATTTTAAGAGTTTCTTTGAGTTAGCTTAAGGTTAAATTGTAAACATTATAATTTTCAGAAGAAAAAAAATTCTACTTAAATAGGTGTCATAGTCATGATTAATTATATGAATTCTGTTCAATAAGAAGAATTATTGAATTTTTAAATTGTGTTTTTATAAATTGAATAGTAGGATGTTATCTTATTAAAATTTCTAAAAATATTATAAACTTCTTAGTTATAAGTTATCTTAGCTGTAACAATAAGGTATTTTATTTATATAATCTTTATCATAAATATTTAAGGAATTTGAATACTTTTTATTAAGTTACAATTTATGTTATGAGAGGCATGTTGATAAAAGAAATTGTTTTATTTAATATTGAAATCCTTTTTGATTACTACTTATTAACCATTATCACTGAGTTAACAGTGTTGTGTGGGTCATATTAGGTAACTTTTTTATCATGATTCTTCTAATGCAGTGTTTCCCAAAGTGTGGAACGCATACCCCCAGGGGTACAGGAACAGTTTAGCGGGGGTACAAGTTCTTATGTGAAATATCTTGCAGGAAACGAAAATTTCAAAACATTTTATTTAAAAACAAGGCTAGCCATTAAAATTTACGATTATGTATTTTTCTATTGGTTACTTTTTGCAGAGTTAACAGTTAATAATTAATGGTGTCAACAGTTGTAATTTTTAACTTTTGTACAATTTTTCTATAGTAAAATATGCATTCACAGCGTTTTCATCATAGAAAAAAAATGGGTGAGAATTTCTCACCCTTTCTCAAAAGCAGGGTGAGATTTCAATAAGTTAAGTGAGATTTCTAAAAACTAAAAAAACACTACAACTCTTTAAAAAAATTATTTCTTTGATTATAATAAATTTTTAACGTCTTCTATTTTTTAAAGCATTGAATATTTTTGGTGCATCATCATAGAAGATTTTGCCTTTACAAGGTATTTGTCCATCTTACATAAGTGCATAAAAAATTTGAACGTCTTACATGAAGAAACCTTACCTACGGTGAACATGTGATTGTAGAGAAATGTGCTCTGAAAGGGGTTCCGTGGTTGTGTTCTGTTGTTCGAAAAGGTTCTAAACAATACTGGTAAATAGGGAAGCTAGATAATGGGGCAGATGATGAAAATAATGAAAGATCTAGGAAGAAAAGTGAAACGGATTTTTTTCTAAATGGCGTAATTCGAAGCTTTTTCCAAAATGCAAGAAATTCGCGAATTTTGAAATTGATTTATAGAATGCGCGAATTTCTCGNTAGTGATGAATTTCCAGAATTTTCTAAATTAGCAAAGATAGCCTCAGTATTGCCAATTTCATCAGCTGATGCTGAGAGAGGCTTTTCAGCCATGAAAAGAATAAAGACATGTGCTCGAAATAGGATATCTGAAGGAAAACTGAAAACATTAATGATGATTACACTTGAAGGGCCAGATATGTCAAATTCCCAAGATGTAATTATAAGAGCACATAAGATATTTCAGTCTTGTAAAATACGTAGAGGGGGAAGCAGTGTAAATAAGTAGAGAGGGAAGCACACTAATAAAAATATTTTACATAAATTTAGATTTTGTTTTATTTTATTTTTCTATTATATTTCAATATTAGCATATTACAGCATTATAATTGTTATAATTCATGTACTAATAATCTATTAAGTATTTTTCAGAAAGATTATATTTGTTTAAAAATTTATGTAAAGGACCCATTTTTTTTCAAAAGGACCCAGTTTTTTAAAAGTCATGGGTCCCAGGGACCCGGGATTTTGAAAGCCTAGTGTCTTCCCTGATACCTAAAGGGTTTGAAAATAGTATTTACTTATTTTTGCTGATAAAATTGAAGAAGGAGCAGAGTAATGTTTACACATGACGTTTTAATCTCTCAATTTTTGTGATTTTTTTTTTAACGGGGAAAAATTGGAAATTTTAATTTATTTGATATCCATGTGGTGAAAAAAAATGTATTCATTTTCTTGTTGTGAAGAAAATTTACATCACTTATTTTATTATCTTTATTGGCCAATTTTAAATTTTGTCATTCTAAGGAAGAAAAATGTGCTACTGGGTATTTAAGTTCTTATTGCTTGATGTTGTATTATATTTTTATGTGTTAGTCATAATAACATTTAGATTGATGTACTACTATAAGAAACTTGGGATAACCCAAAAAAATTTGCTTATACAGTCGACGCTTCGACCTGTGTTGTCCTAAGGAAAATTTATATAATAATGTAAAATCGCTATATCATGATTACACAAGATTATTACAGAAATTAATTCATAAATAAATAAATACTGAATTTATTTCTATGACCGTTTGCCAACAGCCCATTGTGCTGCTCTAGTGTGACAAAAATAAAAAGTATTAAGGTGGGTTTTGCAAGACGAGCCACCTTATTTCCATGTAGGATGAAAAATGTCCATCTTGCATGCTATTTAAACCTGATAAACTCCTAAGTACCAAGCATTTAAAACCTCAACCTCTCTTGACTACCACAAATGCCCGAAGTCAAAAGATGGGTGGCAAAGTTTTTCGACCCTCCCTTTCTTTTAGAAATGACAATATGTATGATCATCTCCTAATTCAGATGTAGAAAAATCCCCAAGAGAAGTGCAAAATGCTCAAATGCACTTCTTCGAAGAGGAATGTAGGAGATAAATTAATTTTAAAATATATCTTTGAGCTCACGAAAGCATAAAAAATTTTCTGAAATACTTTTGTGTTTTCTATATTTTTAAAATTGTATACACTTTAATACAATTTAAAAATTAATGTGGAATTTTAGCAAAACCAGTTTTTAACGAAGAAAATTCCAAAATATTTTTTTAAAAATGTGTAAATTTATTATTTAAAATTAAGATAATTTATAATCTGATTTTGAATTTCAGTTAAATAAATGTTATTTTATTGCAGTATATTTATTTATATTTTTTTATTTGAAGAATAATAATAATTCATATTATGGTAAACTCTAACAATATTAAACATATAATTATGCCCAGATACTTCTCATTTAATAGCAGAGAAATGCATTTTTGTTTT